CCGCACGCCAGACTGGGCAGGAGGGAGGAGTCATAACAGTAGTAGCCAATGCTTGTCGAGTGTGAACTCAGTGCCAGGCTCTGTTTTATGGACTTAACATGTATTTATCTTATTGAATCCTCACAACCACCCTAGGAGGCAGGTACCACTATTATCCCCAAAGTTAAAATAAGAAAAAAAGCAGAGTGGTTAAGGAACTTGCCTAAGCTCACACATTGAGAAGTGGAACTGAGAGGCAACTGCTGTCCTGGTTTGCCTAGAATTGAAGGGCTTTCTAGAATGTGGGATTTCAGCCCCGGGCAAACTGGGACAGTTGGTCACCCTACCAAGTACTGAATCCAGGTGGTGTGGCCCCTAACCATTTCGCTACAGAGGGACAGTTGGAAGACATTGGCTGGATTGGAGGGGAGCTGCTTGTGAGGGAGGAGACACTCAGAAATGACAGGTCTGAACTGGAAGAGGCCCCTGGGCAGTGAGGAGTCATGCCCTCCTCGAGACGGGGAAGGAATCACGATGCCCACGTTAGAGACGGGTGACTGAGGCGGTGAGAGGGGAGGAGCAGCACCAGGTGCCCGGGAGTCACAGAAAGGGCAGCAGGCCTGCCATGTTCTCCACAGCACCTCTAGCTCCAGGCCCTGGCCCAGGTGAATATGTATTTGCCAAACACATGAATGAGCCAGTGAATGACCATTGGGCTCATTGGTCATTGGGCCTGAAGAAGTCTATTGGGCCTCCAATCCTCCAAATAAAAGCTGCTCAGAAGGCAGGGACGCTGAGCAGAGGGGCAGGCACATAGGGAGAAGCCAAAGGGATAGTTCATTGGGAAGAGGGGTGAGCCTGGGACAAAGGTCTCCCTAATACCACCCCCATCCCTGGGACAAAGAAGGCCAAAGTGGGAGAGTTTCATTGTTAAGAGGCAACAAATGAAAAGGCTACTTTTAAACTGTATTCAAAACACATGTCCAAAAAAATCTGGAGGAAAGTTCACCAACAGCTCTTTCATGGCCATTTTCCCAGGGGTGTTGCCCTCAGGGGATTTCATGTCCTTTGTTACATATTTCTACCCTGATGGAACTTTTTATAACTTGTGTGTATTTTTGGTCATCGGAAAAACTGAGAGATTAAGAGCAGAAGATGCCCTGTTAAATGTTCCATCTGGATGCTGTCAGGTCTGTGCATGATGGGACCTGTCCTTTAGACTGAGGCTGTTTCTGGTATTTCTAAGAATTAAGTTACTCCAAATTATAAAAGTTGCCAGTATCTAAAAAAAGACAGTAGGCAAATGTCAGCAGACATCTGTGGACTTTTTTTCCTGCCCAGATTTTGCTTCCATTTGTTCTGCCAATAGCGCCCTGAAATACCACTCCCTAAGAAGTCCAGATAATTGTGTGGGCACATGACCCAGATCTGGCCAATCAGAATACTGTGTGTTGAGCGCCAGGGTGATTGGTTTAGGAATGGGCATGTGGCCCCAGGGCCTTTGTTGGCCTTTGTTGTAGGTACTGGGAAAAAGGTGCAGCCTCTCCTCTAAGCCTGTAGCAGCAGGACAGCCTGCCAGAGAATGAAGTCAGAATGGAGGTGGGGGGGATCAAATATAGAACCTGGATCCAGCCAAGCCTGAAGTCAGCTGCCATGTAATTTTCTGTGACATGAACCAATACGTTTCTGGCTTGGGTGGGTTGGAGTGACTTTCCTGTGATCAAGCATTTTGATAGCACTCAGCCAGGTAAGGAAGTACAAAGGAGGGCTTTCAGCTCACTGGGGGCATTCAGGGATTGGACAGTTTGTGTTCACAGAAGATGCAAAGGTTCCAGGCATGCTCCCAGCAGCCTTCCCCCGGCATTAATCACACCACTTACTCCAGCCTCTTCAGCCAGCTCTTGCCTTCAAGGGCCCCCATCAGCACCTTGGAGCCCTCCTCGCCAAGTTGATTGTTAGACAACCTGTTGGGGACGAGGCATGAAGTGAGGGTTAGACAAGACTGCCCAGCCTTAGAGCCCCCCTTACTCCCTTAGTCCCCCCAGGAGCTGATCCTAGACCACCCCTCCTGTCCAAGCTCCATGGGGGCATTCCTGGATCCAACAGTCAGGCTCTGGGGTCCTTGAGGAGGGGCGCATGGCAGTAACAACTGACCTGGCTAAGAAATGATGCCCTGAGTGAGGGCTGCAAAAGAGGGGGCCAGGGACAAGGGGCATGCATGCGCGCACGCACACACACACACACACGCACAATGATCTTTTTTGTTCCTTAGTTCTATCTGCACCCCGACACCCATAGCCACTCTGGACAGAGAAAGATTATGATCATGTTACAGATGAGGCAGTCCAAGTCTAGAGAGGCAGTTTCTTGCTCAGGGTCACTCTGAGTGAGTAATAAAGTTGGGACCAAGAACACAGAGCTCAGCCTTCCCCAGGCCACACCCAGAGTTGCTGGGTTTCATCAGGGAGATAAGTGATTGGTTGAAGTCTACTACCCACCTTCCCAAAGCCCCCTCCCCAAGTCCTCTCCACCCCTGGCCCTCAGCTGGCCCATCTCTTCCCAGACCCCTCCACCCTAAGACTCACTCCAGCTCCTCCAGGTTGTGACAGTGGCTCAGGCCAGATGCCAGGTGGGCCAGGCTCTCAGAGTTCACACAGCTGGAGACCAGCCTGGTGGGGGTCAAAGGGCAGCAGGTCAGGAAAGAGCTCTGGGCCTTGGGAGCTCTGAATGCTGATGGCAGAGGGCAAGGAAGTAGGTGGGGAGCAGTTCCTGGGGGATCAAGGGGCGGGGGCCCTCCTTTCCTTCATAAATCTGTCCCACTGTGGAATCAGTAAGTCAAGATATAGCTTGGAGACATTAGCATGGACTAGCTGAGTATTTGCCCAAACTATGATCATCCAGATGACAACTTCACAATTTATGCCATAATCGGGCATCACTGTAAAATCTAGCTAGTGACTGCCATTTTCCATGAGCTCTACACCTTTATTTAAACAACAACAACAAAAGTAGCAAGTATTGGCGAGGTGTTAAAGACATATTGGCAGCCCTGGCCGGTGTGGCTCGGGTTAGAGCATCGGCCCGCACACCCAAGGGTCTCGGGTTCTATTCCCCATCAAGGGCATGTACCTGGGTTGCAGGTTAGATCCCCAGCCCTGGTTGGGGCACATGTGGGAGGCAACCAGTGGATGTGTCTCTCTCACATCCATGTTTCTCTCTCTCTTCCCCTCCCTCCCTCCCTTCCACTCTCTCTAAAAATCAACAGAAAAAATATCCTTGGGTGAGGGTTAACAAGATATATTGGCAGAAGGAGACCTTCTCCTTGATGCAATCGGTTGGATTAACACAGAACTGCCAAGTTAGAAATGCTCCATCTTGCAACCATCATACTAGGATTTGATCGGGCAAGAATTACCAAAGAATGCCAAAATTCCGTGGGTGAAAGTTTGGGGCAGAACAGGATATTTACATAGTCTTAAAGTGGCTCTGTAAGAAATTACTTGTTAATTAGAAAGGGAAAAAAATAATAGCTTTGCAAGTGATGAAACCTGGCAGATGCCACCTTAATCAGGTGCTCACAGTTAACATCACCAGCAAAGGGACAAATAGACATCATGTACCTCCAGATGCAACGAGCCGAGAACACAACAGAACCTCTGTGATATTCCTGCCCAACGTGCAGAGCCTAAATCTAAGCATGAGGAAGCATCAGACACACCCAAGCTGAAGGACAGTCTACAAGTTACCTGGCATGTAAAGGTCATGACAATATCATGAGAGACAAAGAAGGGCTGGGGACCTGTTCCAAACTGGAGAGAGATGAAAGCTAAAGGCAGTGGGTGGTCCTGGATGGCATCCAGGACTGGGGGAAAACTGTAATAACATTATTGGAACAATGGGCAAAGCTGGAATATAAACTGCACTTTAGATAATAGAAGTGTTTCAGTGTTAAATTTCCTTAAATTTCATGTTTTTACTAGATTATGGGAGAGAATGTCCTTGGTCTTAAGAAATTCACTGAAATACTGGATAAAAGGGCATAAATATGCAACATGCTCTCATATGGTTGGAAGGAAGAGGAGGGGTGAGCGGGGTAAGGGTGGAGGGAGGGAGGGAAGGAAAGAGCAATTGTGGGAAAAGGAGAATTTGGGAAAATGGGATATGGAAGTTCTCAGTCTTCTTGCAACTTCCCTATTAGGTTGCAGTTACTTCCAAATAATAGAGAAAAAGAATAAGGTGTATGGAAAAGGGAATCCCTTCCTTGTCTTGTGGCCATGTCTATGACCATACACCCTGATGTCATCTTCGGGGCCGAGCTGTGGTCCCAGCCCCCAGGATATGGACACGGAGCTCCTCTGAGCTCAGGGAAGTGTTGGGACAAGGCAGGGCTGCAGAGGGGCCCGAGTGACAGTCTTGTCTCCATACCGGAATTTCTTCAGCTCCGAGAGGGACGGCAGGAAGCTTTGCAGCAGCAGGGAGCTGGTGTGGCAGAGGTTCACCTGGGACAAGCTGAAAAGGGCCAAGCATATTCTAGAGAATTTCAGGCTGGACAACCTCAGAGATCATCAAGCACATGGAGATGGGGAGGCCAAGAAAGGGGAAAGGACCACCCAAGAGCTCCCAGCGAGGCAGGGCCCCCCTAGGCCACCCAGGGGCCGTCCCCCATTGGCTAAGTGTGATTCTCTCCTGCACAAGGAAGCAGGAATGCCAGGGTCTCGCACTGCCCCAGGCTCTGCTCATCCCCATTCTGGCCTGGCTAGTCTTCACATGTGGCCTGGAGTGGGCACCGGCGTGGACCAGAGAACTCAGGGCACAGTCAGTTTTGGGGTGCTGACCTGAGGTGTTGCAGCCAGGCACATGTCTCCATCAGCTGCCTGACACGAAGGCTGTGGTGGGTCTCAAGGTCACAGTGAGCCAACCTGGAGGTAGACAGGCAGCAGTTTCTGTACACCTGGATCAGTATTAGGGACTCAGCCCCTACCTGCAAGGACCTTCACTTGAGGGGTGTATGAATGCTAATCAAATAAAATTACAATATACTATTCAATTATGGGAAGTACTAGGAAGGAGAGGTCCAGATGGGGAGCTAGTACGACTGTGCACGTTGTTCACTGCACAAGGGGACCCAGCCTAGGAGGCGAGTCAGGGTTGAGGTCCAGCTGTGGTCTGTTTCCCAGAATGTATACACTAGGGCTGCATTCATCCATAAGGGTGGCACCTAATTTCCAAAGGAAAGGAAAATGGGAGGACCTGACCATGTCTGGGGGCTCAGAGGAGCCTTCCTGAGGTAGTGGCATTTAACCTAAGACCTGAGGGATGAGAGGGAGTTAGCCAAGTGAGGAAAGAGCAAGAGGGGAAGAGAGGAGAAAACATTCTAAGCAGGGAACCTCCTGTGCAAAGGCCCTGAGGTCAAAGGGAGCGAGGTGGTCTTCAAGGACCTGAAAGCTGGTAGGGAGAACTGGAGCTCAGTCTGGGGTATGCGGTGGGGATGGACACCATGGGCCACATAGAGACTTTGGACATCAAAGAACTCTGAGCAGGGGCATGAGAATATTGGTCAGAAGCAGCAGTCCCCAGCCCATCACCAGCCACTCCCTGGGGGCCCCAGGTACTAGGTCCCACCTGAGGGCCATCGCCTCTGGGTTCTCCTGACGAGGAAATTTCAGCTGGATACAGAGCTGCTGCTGGGTCTCGGAGATGCTGAGAAGGGAAGAGGTACCAGCGTGAGACCCAATGGTCATGAGACGATGAAGAATTCAGAGGGGGCCTCCTCCCTGGACTCACCTTATTTCGGTGATGTTGCCTGAGGCCCAGGTGCAGACTTGTAGCAGGTTGAACACCCCATCTCTGCCCACCCATGGCTCCTCCACCCTGTCACAGAAGTGAACACAAACAAAGGTGGCCTGGGTGAGGTGGGGAACAGAGGAGTGCGCCGAGGGAGTCCTAGAGGCTTTTTGGGATTTTGCTTATTTTAAAACTATAAAATTATACCGCTAGGCATAACACAGGAAATTAACAATCTCATTCCAACAGTTATTGCAACAATGCAAACAGAAAATGTTAACTTTTAAATAACATTTTTAGATTAAACAAAAGGTCCACGTATTGTTACATCACAAAGAGGAAATAAAACTGTGTCTAAAACACGATTCAAAGTTTCTATTTGAAAAAAGGAAAAATATATATGGAGAGAAAGAGAGGGAGAGAGAGAGATGAGGAAGATATATTAAATGTTAATGGTAGTGGTTTAGATGGTGGGATTCCCATGATGGTTTTTATTTTATTCCTTCTTTAGTTTTCAGTATTTCATGCATTAACTTAGATGCAGGAAAAAGAGAGTTGTTTAAAATATTTCTCCTTTTAAAGTTATATTGTGGTTTTTTTTTTCAATCCTTACCCGAGGATATGTTTTTATTGATATTAGACAGGAACGGAGATCCAGAGAGAGAGAGCAACACTGATCGGCAGCTTCCCGAATGCCCTGACTGGGGATCGAACCCGAAACCATTCGTTGTACGGGATGGTGCGCCAGCCAACCGAGCCACCGGCCAGGGCTATATTGTATTTTGTTTCAAAGTACTAGCTTCTTCATATGCTTATGGACTTTTCCACAAATTTCTACAATTAATATATATTATTTTTAGAGTAAGAAAAGTATTATTTTAAAATGTTATTTTGGATGATCCAGCAATTCTGGGTACATACCCAAAAGAATTGAAAGAAGAGATACAAAGAGATATTTGTACATCAATGTCCGTAGCGGCACTACTCACAGCAAGCAAAAAGTGGAAGCCACCCCAGTGTCCATCAATGGGTGACGGGTAAGCAAAATGTGGCCTGTCCCTACAGTGAAATAGCCTCAAACAGAAAGAAAACCCTGACACGCTGCGACATGAATGAACCTCTACGACACTAAGCCAGTCACAAAGAGACAGATACTGTACGATCCCAGGCTCATCAGATCCATGGAGACGGAAAGTAGAGCGGTGGTTGCCAGGGCTGGGGGAGGGGAGTGGGGAGTTAGTGTTTCATGGGAACAGAGTTTCAGTTTTGCAAGAACAAAAGAAGTATGGAGATGGACGGTGCTGACAGTTGCACAGCAATGTGAGTGCACGTAACAAGAAGGTCAATTTTATGTTATGTGTATTTTACCACAATTTAAAAAATGTTATTTGGGGGAACACGCAGACTTTGTGCGCCTCATCTCATCACAGGCAGCGATGAGAAGTGACCAGCCCTGGACATGAAGTAGGTGTTTTTGATACAAATATGTAAGTGAAACACAGCCAGCCTTTGATCTAGCTTCCAGTTCCAGGAAAGTCAGGGGTTAGCGGAACAAACTCAGTGATGTGATGCGGAAGCAGCGAGACAGGGCTGGAAAGTGGGCTGGACCACAGCACGGCAGGCCAGTTTTGTCAACAGGCTCTGTCGTGAAAGAAGACAGTGGGGGGATGACAGGGATTAGGAGACCTAAGAGTCATCGCCACCCCCCCACCCCTCATGCAAATGTGGACCTTGACTGCATCCTGGATCCAACAGGCCAGCAGTCCCATGTAGGGACAGTGGGACGTGCTAGGTGGGACTGGGTAATGCGCGACCCTGAGGGATTGCTACTGAGTTGCGTAGGTGTCCTAGTTCAACTGTGATTATGTAGAAAATGTCCTTATTTTTTAAAGATTCATGGTGAAATAGTTGAGTGATATTTTATGAGCTCTATAACTTTAAAAGATTTTGGCCAAAATAAAAAAGGAAAGCAAATTTGGAAAAACAGGAACCATCGTCAAACCTAGGTGATGGGAACATGAGTTTTCAAAGTGATTCTACTTTTTGGTATCTTCTGCCTTTTTCAGAAGGTTTTCAAATGACCCTAGTGAACATATAAACATGCTACTTGCTGTATGTTATTTTTGACCTTAGCTGGGTGTCCTCTGGAGGTTTTTTCCCCTTAAGTCCCCAAGCATAGGCCCCGCCCTGGAGAAGGTGGCTTCTCTGTGTGCCTGAGGGGTTCTCTGGGACAAATGCGCAGGTCAGCTCTGTGTCCAGGTGGCAGGGTTCTGGGTGCAGGAAATGGTCAGAGCCATGATCCTGGGGGGATCCATACTCCAATGCCCGCCCCTGCCCTTCATTCACACCATCGCCCCCACCCCCAGGAGCACAGTGGAAGACACTACCTGAGCCTGAGCAGTCCCACTGGCCACCTCACCAGACTCAGGAGAACGGTCAGGTCTTTCAGGCCCAAGCAGCACTGGCTCAGCCTGGGACAGAGGTAGGTTACAACAGAGGCTCTAGTAGGGAGCCCCAGCCCCTCAGCTGCCCCCGTGGGCTGGGTCCAACTCACGTGAGCTCTGTCAGTTGCCAGGCCTGGCTCAGGCCAGCGGCCAGTCTGGTCACGTGCTCTGGTCTGAAGCCGCACTCTCTCAGCCTGAGGGCAGAGGCCAGAAGGCAGAGCCTGGGTGAGGCCTGTCCACGCTCCCACCAGGGCCTGGGGGGGCCCCTACTGAGTGCAGAGGCCTGGACCAGGGCCTGAGAAGAGGCCAAAGGTGCAGCTCCTGCCCTGGGAGCTTCCAGCCCCTTTGGAGAGACCACCCCCCAAGAAAGTGGTAGAAGTGAGTCACTTATTGAGCCCTGAGTACAGGTCAGGCCCTGTGCCAGCCTCTGGGTGAGCCAGCAGGAGTGCCTGGCTTACATGCAGTATCTCATTGAATCCCAGCAGTGCCATTTACTGGCGGAGAAACTGACTAACCCAAGGACACAGAGCAGGTCAGAAGTAAGGGCAGAGTTGGGTTTCAGTCCTGCTCAGCCTGACTCTAGACCCCAAACCAATACCCTCCCCTGCTCTCACTTTATTCCAGGCTCCCTGGGAGGGAGGAGAGCCTGGGATTCTCTCTAGGGCCCTGCCCTCCAGGTGGGCCCAGCACAACACCATGGGCAGTTCATTCGGACAGAGAGGGGCCACTGCATTTCTCCAGGAGGGGCTGACATTTGAGCTGGGTCTTAAAGGATTGGGAGCATTTCATCTCAGAAAAGGCAGGAGAGAGCATGTCAGGCTGAGTGCCCAGGGTGGGGAAGCTTTACCAGGAGTGAGTGTCCAGTGTACAAGGAGCCATGGTCCCTTGTAGATGAATATGTGCTGTGTGTGTGGTGTGTGTGTGTGGTGGGGTGGGGTATGTGAGTATGTGTGTGTTGTGTGTATAGTTTGTGTGTTTGGTGTGTGTGTGTGTGTGGTGTGTGAATATGTATGGTGTGGAGGGTGAGAAAGAACATGGCAAGAGTGGACTGTCAAATCAGACTGTGAGGGAAAAGACCAGGCTAAGGAATTTGAACTAGATTTGGGGGCAATGGGGAGCCACTGAAGGGCTTAGAGCAGTGGAGTGGCACAGTCAGATATGTGTGTTGGGAAGATCCCTCCAGGTACTGTGGGGGTGAATGGATTGGAGGAGGCCTGGCCAGGGCCAGTGGATCGGTTTGGAGGCCATGATCACAGCTGAAGTAAGACATGTAGAGGAACTGACCCAAGGCAGTGGTGGAGAGAGACAGAGCCCAAGGCTCCTGAGGGGTAATAATAACAATAACAGTAATAGCAATAGCTGATAGAGCACTCAAATGAGTCAGGCCCTTTCCAAGAACTTTATTAACTCATTTAGTCCTCACAATAACCCTAAGGGGGATGGTCCAACTATTATCCCCATTTTACAGATGAGTAACTGAGACACAGAGAGGTTAAGTCACTTGTCCAAAGTCACGCAGCTGGTAAGTGGCAGAGGTAGGATTTACCGCTGGGCCTACCTGGAGGGCAGGGCCCTAGAGAGAATCCCAGGCCCTCCTCCCTCCAAGGGAGCTTGGAATAAAGTGAGAGTAGGGGAGGGTGGCTCCAGAGTCCAAGCTCTTAACCATGCTACTACTCAGAAGCCTCCAGACCTATAGTTAGGACATGGCTAAGAAGCATAAATACAACGTGAAGGCCTGGTCCAGGGGCTGGAAGTATGGGGGTACCGGGGGCAGACGAGGGGCAGTGAGCAGGAAGCAGGGTTCATGAGGAGGAGAGGAGCTGGCAAAGAAGGAGGCATGGAGCCTCCACAGGGTCAACCTTTCCCCCTCCCCCACTCCCTCCACTTTCCCTCTCACCCCAAGCCAGCAGTTACCTCAGTGTCTTCCCAGTCTCCTCCTGTTGGGAGAAGTGAATCCGGAAGCTCTGCTCAGAGCCCAGGCTGCAGAGAGAGGGGTATGAGGGAGCCAGAGGCTTGCCAGCATCCTCAGAATCCAGGCACCAGGGGGCAGTGCAGAGAAAGGGGCTGGGGCCAAGGGGCAAGGGAGAGGGGAAGCCATGGAAGGAGAGGCCCTTCCCAACCAGAGGAGACCCCAACCCATCCTGTGAGGCCACTAAAACCCAGTCTTTCCCACCCGTGACCTCCCTGGTCCCCACAGCAAGCGGGGCTCAGAGTATGGAAACTGTGACCCCACATTCAGTGAACTGTGAGGCTCTGAGGTTGTCCCCAGTCGCACAGACAAAAGCCTCTCAGCGTGGGGGTCTTGCTTCCCCCACCATCAGCAAGTGGCACCGCATCTCCTTACTTCACAGAGGCTTCCCGGACACGTGGGCAGGAAGGGAGAGTCTCCATCAGGCACAGGACACTTTCTTGAGAGATGCTGTTGTTACTCAGACTGGAAGAGAAGGAAGGTTCGGGATGGGGGGTGGGGGCAACCCCTCAATGGAGCCCTTCCCAGCCCCCTTGCCTCCCCTCCAGCTGTCGTCTTCAGGAGGAGATGTCATCTCAACGTCCAAGTGTCCATTCTCCGGGTGGAGACGCTAAGGTCCAGAGAGAAGCCAGAGGGGCCCTGTCTCCATATGGGCAGGATAGGCACCTGAGTCCTCGAGAGCTGCACCCTCTGTGCCTACTGTCCTTTCGATCTGGGGCAGGGCAGCGATGAGACCAGGACGGCAGCTCCAGCCCCACCTAGAGCACAAAGCTCAGCTGCCCTGCAGTGGGTTGTATCATGGCTCTGGCTGCCTGTCTCCCAGGTCACTGGGGAGATCCGGTGAGAGTGTGAGTGACTCCCTGGGGACTCTCCCTGTTGTGAGGACATCTCCAAATCCGTGTCCCGTGGATTTGGTCAGAGGAGCTTCAGGGACCAGAAGCCGGAACAGCTAAGATCCTGCATCAACTAAGGATGAATTGCCATTCCCTGTCCGGAGTCAGCTGGAGTCACCAAGCTTTAGTCACAGCCTCTCCTGGTTGTCTAGTGGGGGCTCTTCCCATGGTGGGGAACGAGAGAAGGTGGAAAAGACCCAAGGTGGGGGTGTCAAGGTAAAAATCACCCCTTTCCTCTCCTCGGTCCTTGTCTTCTGGAGTTCTCTAGGGGTCCCTCAAAAGATACCTCAAAAGCCATGCTCTTGGCCCAGGGGAGCCTTCCACCTTGCTGTCCTTGAGACTGCTCACCACTTACTCAAGAGAACTCGAGATGGGCAACTGAGGCAGATACTTCAGGAGGCACCCGAGTCCATCATCCCCCAGCTGGTTGCCCGAGAGGCTGTAGGAGGTGAGAGGAGGTGGTTGAGGGTCAGACATGCCTCCTCCACAGGCGCCTTCTCTTCAGCGTCGTCACTGCCACCCCACCCGCACAGCACTCTCTGCTGTTACCCCCTTCACACGGCCCCCACCAGGCAACCTGCTCCCGTCCCACCGTCAGCATCATCACCATCATCAGGACCAGCCTCATCCCATTGCTGCTACTTGAATCACCATGTGCCCCACCCCCTCCACCATCATCTCCATCACCACTAGAATCATCACCAACTATCGGTACCACCATCACCATCACACGAGCTCCTGTGTACCCACCACCATCCCCCTCACCAGCACGGCAGTTAACCGGTCCCCATCTTCCCTTCCATATCTGCCGACCACCCCCAGGATGCCGGCGGGCTCTCAGGAGTTAGAGAAAAACCAATTATCTCTTCCTACGCCCTTGGCCCACATCAGTCGGGAGCTGCCATTTTGGAACAAGAGCAAATTCAGGAGAAAGATATTTGGGGGATGTGTTTACCCAACAGAGTTCCTCTTTTAATTTGGGAAGGCAATATCAGACATTGCATTTGAATACTTTCTTACTTCCCTTCATGGCAGTGTGCTGTGGCTTTCGCTACAGTGCAGACACAGTATAACCAGCGTGCCCTGGAATATCTGATTCTGTCCTGCGTCTTGAAACTCATTTTGTCCCTGATTTTGACATTTCTGAGGCTTGTCTATTTCATCTTTTCCTGAGAAACCATAAAAATTAGTTTGTCTCATGAAGCCCCCTGATAATCTTTAAAATAAGAAAACGTGCCCTCTACAATGAAAAAAACAAGACACACACACAAGAAAAAAACCACAACAGAAAAACTCGAAGACCTATTGCTTATTCCTTTCTTTAAAATACATGATTTTCATCGGTCACATTTTTTTCTTCTTGGCCACACCATGACAGGAATTTTTAATTTTTTTATCTGGCTCTCTCTAACTCCTACAGGTCCCAGGCTGAGCTCCCTAACAGCTGTGAAAAGACTCTGCGCTGTACTAGCTGTGTGACCTTGGACAAGTCCTTGAGCTCCCTGAGCCTCAGCTCTCCCATGTATGAAATGAGGATAACAGTACCTGGGTTTGTTGGAAGGATGAGACGACTACCTAAAGCACGCAGATCCGTGGAGAAGTGCTCAAGAGGTGTTAGCTACCAACGCGGGGGCTGCACTATTTGGGCACCCAAGACAGGTCACATGGATACCACTTCTCAACAGTACGAGAGCTCATGAGCCCCCACCCAACTGGCTCCGGAACCCTCCTCAGACTGAGCCGTTTGGCACTTTTAACCCCCTACCAGGCAAACCAATGGATCCTTCAGGCTAGTGCCTACCAGCCAGCAGAGCTCCGGTGCCTTGATCTACAAGAGGCCAAAGGGCTCCTGTGGCCCTTTTTGAAGGACTCCCCAAATTAGATGAAGGGCACATTTTGAACTAGCTCCACCGTGGCAGGAGTGGGGTGGGAGGGATAAAATGGATACAGGGACACCTTAAAGGTGTCACCCAGAGTCCTGGGCATCCCAATAGCTGGTCCTGAGAGGTGTTGAGTGCACAACACACACACCCCCAGTGCGGCCCAGGTGCGTGCTCCCAGACCTCCCCTTGTTCCTCTTCCCCCCACTTACTCCAGCTGACCAAGGCCTTCACACTTCTTCAGCAACTCGCACAGTGGCTCCACGTGCTTCGGCCTGAGGCTGCAGTCTGTGAACCTGCTGGCGGAGGGGGTATGAGCCAGGGTTGGGGCATCCAGCCACTCAGACCCACTCCACCCTGGCATGTCCCAGGTGTGGCCTCACCCGAGCTTGGACTCTCTGGAACTATCTAGCATCCACCACTTCCACCTCCCCACAGCAGATCCCACCTGGTACCCCCCCGTGCTCCCTCCTGGGGAGGTGGTTCTCAAAGGGGAACTTGCTGAGATGCAAAGTCTGGGAACTCAGCCCAGACCCAGTGAATCAGCAACTCTAGGGCCAAAGCTCTCCAGGGGTCTCTGACTCAAGCTCCAGTTGGAGAACCACAGCTCTTCGGGTTATTTAAAAAATAATAATAAAAAGATCTTAGAGGGAAGGGAGAGAGAGAGAGAGAGAGAGAGAGAGAGAAACATAGATATGAGAGGGAAACATTGATCTGCTGCCTCCTGCACGTCCCCTACCAGAGATCGAGCCACAACTCAGGCATGTGCCCTGACCGGGAATCAAACTGTGACCTCCTGGATCATTGTGGATGCTCAACCGCTGGACAGATGGCTCTCTTGTACTTAAAAGGGGAGCTTAGGGTTGGAGAGGCGTTAAAGACCCGCTAACACCCAGCTGAGACTTCCTCCTGGTCTTAGACAGAGGGAGTAATGACCTCAGGAAGGATTTAACTACTCTATCTATCTCCCCAACATCCTAAAAATCACCCCACCCTGGACTCTGTCCTACATTTTGGAAACTTCTGACCTAGAAACCATAAAGGTCTTCTAGAGGTCTGGGTAGCATCGGGCTAGGACAGGAGTAAAAAAAATAACTATAGCTAAGGCCACCTGGTTTTGTATGGCTTGCAAGCTAGGGGCAATGTTTCAAACGACTAAGAAAAAAAAATCAAAAGAACAGTAGTTCATGACACAAACACAGTTTGGCACACAGCCACACCCGTTGTTTACGACTTGTCAGTGCTGCTTTTAAGCTACAACAGTAGCTGCGCTAGAGACCATATGGCCTGCAAACTGCCAAATATTTATCATTTAACCCTTCACAGAGAAAGCCTGTCTGCCCCTGGGCTAGGAGCACTGCAGGACGCCTGGGTTCAAGTCCCAGCTGCACTCCTCACCACGTGTGCGATGCACAGGGACCACAGCTGTGAGGCTTATACAAGGTGACGTGTATAAGGCTCTCAGGATGGTGCCTTGCAGCCCTGGCCAGGTAGCTCAGTTGGTTAGAGTGTCATCTGATACACACCAAGGCTGTGGGTTTGATCCCCGGTCAGGCCAAATATAAGAATCAACCAATTTGTGCATAAATAAATAAGTGGAACAGCAAAGCAATGTTTCTCTCTCTCTTTCCCTTCTCTAAAATCAACTTTAAAAAAAAAGAATGATGCCTTGAGGGGCTCAACAAATTTTTGCTCTTCTGTTTATTATTTCACAGCTGAGACTGTGAAGGAGCAGCCAGACGGTCTGGTCCAAGGCCTCTCGGGGAGCAAGTGGTAGAAATATTATCTTTGTATCCAGAGGTCACTCTTCTGCTCCATTATTCTACCTCCTGCCTCCCGTGCAACACCCGCCCCCCTCTCAGCTGGGCAACTGCAGAGCACTGGTCTAGGAGTCAGCAGGGGATGGACACTTATGCCTTACAGGTTGTCTCATTTAATCCTTGCAAACGCCCTGCAGCATGGGGTCCCCCTTCTCCAGCTGCACAAGCTGAGGACCAGAGAGGTTAAGGAACTTGCCCAAAGCCCCAGGGCCTCGTGGAGCTGGGATTAAAGCCTGGGGGCAGGTTGTGAAGTCCTTTTTCTCGAGTTCTCAGTTCTGGGCCAGTCTGATGTGCACTCCTTTGCCCTTGACAAAGCCGAGCGCTCCTGGGAGCCCTGCTTCTTCATGTTGGAGGAAACAAGTCCCCTTGCAGGTCCTTCTGTGGGAGCGCTCTGCACATCCTCTGCTGTCTATCCTCTGGCCATCACGAGGCAGGTCTGCTGGTCCCCAATACCCACTGGCTGCCAGGGCTTGGCCCAGGGGACTTACCCACAGCATCTGCCTTTCTGCTCCTCGCTAGACCTGAAGTGCAGGGTTGCATCATCCAAGGACCTGGAGCACACAGTAGCTCAGTGAGCCACCCTTGACCGCAGCCTCAGGATGCCCCAGGAGGCACCTCTCCTCCAGGAGCTGAGCCTCTGACCTGGGTCCTACTGCCTCCATCCTACCCCTCACGCCCACCAGACTTCAACCACAACCCTCCTAGACTGGCCCCAGCAATGCCCACCTGAGATCCACCTTCTGAACTCGTGGGCACAGGCTGAAGAGGTGAGCCAGCAGGAAGGGGCTCCCCGGGGGCAGTGGTGTCTGGCTCAGCCTGAGAAGGAAAGGGGCAGGACCCCAAGTGAGCAAGTTAGAGCCAAGCAAGATCAGTGGGCAAGGAGCAGAGATAGGCTGGAGGGGAAGGAAGGGGGTGGGGAGGGCTGGCAGGTCCGCTCAACAACAGGAAGAAGGCAGGGGGACTCAAGAGGGACAAATAGGGGCTTAGGGTCAAGCAGACTTGGGTGTGAGCCCCAGTTCTGCTTACTGGATGTGTGTCCTTGCATGAGTCATTCAAGCTCTCCGAGCCTCAGTTTCCCCACCTGGACAACAGGACTCTACTCATGGTATACCTTCCTCTGCAGGTGTCGTGAGGATTTGATCACATCAAGTGCGCACACTGCCTCGCCAGCTCCCATGCTTGTTATTAGTATACTGTTTCTCCCTCAAGCACAGACTTAGCAGGAGAATCTTGTTAACAGGGAGTAAGATGCTGTGCCTCCAGCACCCCAAACAGTGCCTCCTACTGTCTCCAGCACCCCAAACAGTGCCTAGCACACAAGCACTACAGACTGAGCAATACAAAGCGTAAGTCCCTGTGACAGACTGGCCACCTTGTTCCAAAGACAGATGCTGTGCGACTTGGGCATAGAGAAGTCCCTCTCTGGTCTGAGGATTTGCACCTGTTCATTTTAACCCACTATCTTGTGTGTCCAAAGGAGCCCTGCCTGACAGGGTAGACCAGAGTGGGTACCGTGGAGGCTGAAGAGAGCTCTGTCACATTTGCCCACCTCTGGAAAGCCACTGTGCTTCCCTCCCTCCCACCCTCCCTTCCCACAGGATC